TTACCTTCGCAAATTGAATCTATATGACCAATCATACAAAATCATACTCCAATAGTTTTGATAAAAACAAAGAGTGACCTACTCTGATATCAATTGAAAAACCTAAGTGATTCGTGATTAGATCAAGATTTAATTGTACCAATTCCCAAACAATTAAAACTAACAATCTAAATTATCAAGCACGTACGAAAGTGACTTAGATTGTTGTTTCAAAAACAATAAATTGACACAAATGATTTTTACGTGGAAAAAATCACTATTGGAGCACTTCCAATTGTGATTAAAAAACCACGGGCGAAACGCCACAAAACAATCCACTATGAAGGAAAGAAAGAATACAAAATACCTAAACAAATTACCCAAATTCTGTCAATTTGTCTTCAACGATTTGTATATCTTCCACTGCAACCTTCGTCTCAGAATTGATTAGATTGATGTTGATTCCACAACATCCACGTCGACTCAACGACCGCACACAGCTTCGAACACTCCAAGCTTGAATCTCCAGATTCCACCAAGGAAGAACACTCTTGAAGATGATCACTCAAACAACCCTTTGATGTGTATTATCAAACCATGTGAGTTTAATACTCAAGCAAACATCAAAGGAAAACTAGCAAAATAGCCCCAAAAGAAAACCCTAAAGCCCTTAAAACAGATCTGGAAGCCTTAAATATAAAAACGGACTTAAACACATATATATAGAAAACAGGGGTCGCGTACCCCGCTCGAGCGCAGGACTTGCCACTCGAGCAGAGTCACTAAAACGCGTGCGATAAAACAATACGCTCGACTGCTAGAACTCATGCTTGAGTGCAAAAACACGCCTCTTAGTATTTTTATAGACAAGCCAAACTACTGAGAAGGTGCAAACTCCGCTCGAGCGGGACAAGCAAAAAATAAGGAAAAATTACAACTCAACTAAATAAGTTTGTTTACGGAATTGGCAACAAGTAGGGACCTAACAATAATAATGTGATTGAATTAAAAATTATTATTTTAAAACAAAAAAATGAACGGAGATGACTTTTATTTACAAAATAGTCAATTTAAACCACATAAAGATGACTTTTAATTACAAAATTGTCACTACAATATCATTCTGATAAAAAAATTTGTAATGTTAAAATTTTCTAATTATAAAGAAATTAGAAGTTGGGTTGAATCTAAATTTTGCTTCGCATATTTGAGTCACGGATATAACTGATTCCTTTGTAATTCTAAAGTGAATTCATAGTATAGATTTTGGAGTTTAGATTTGTCCATATCTATACTATTATATAAAACACACAACCCTTTGAAAGGCAGTTCTATTTGCATATCACTAATCCTCTCAGTTCACATTAGATTTAATTTGATTTTTTTTTGCTATTAATCTTCAAATAATACCAAGATACTCTCATCTTCTTTAATCTCAAACCTTAACCCTAATAGTAGCCCAATAGTCACTACCTATTGCCTCTGGCATCCCTATTTCTAGCTCTCTCTTGTTATTGCTATTGTAATCCCCCATCCCTTCTTGTCATTATAGCTGCTGCGATTCCCCTCCCCACGCCACCCTGCCTCTCCCTTCCCCTACCTCCTCCCGTCCTTGTTGCCCCTCTCTCCCTAGTCCCCTTCCTTTCCTACATTCTCTCCCCCTCACCAAACTCTTGCGTCATCCTTCTTCAGTCTCGCAACAACATCCCTTATTCTTGCAACACCCTCCCTCCTACCCTTCCATCACCATCAAAACACTAGTCGCTACCTCTCTAACTCCAATATGAAGAGGCAGAAGTGGAAATGAGTGGGTTGGAGAGAGGGTGGTGGAAGGGCTATCGGGCTAGGAAGGGCAATGGGGAAGAAAGAGGGATAGGAAGGGGGTGGCAATAGAGGAAGGAACAAGGAGGCTATGGAGGGGGTGGTGGAGGGTTGACGGGGTTAGGAAAGGTTTGTAGAGAAGGAAGGGGGTTTATGCTGGTGGCAATGGCTAGTAGTGATGTTGGAGGTTAGTGGTGTGTATCAATAGATTAGATTTTAAAATTTCACCCAAATGAATATTTTACTTGAGACATATAAATTCGTATTTAGAACATTGCATAAATTATCATTTCTCTTATAAAGTTGTAATGACTCCTACAACAGTCATACATTAGTAGGATCTATTACCTTTGTTGGAGAGACAATAATTTATGCGGTTCTTTAAATAATTGATGTTTGTCATTGGTATTTTTATACAAATAGTCACACACATAAATGCATATCTTTGCCATGACTATTCCTTGGAGGTAACGAAAAACTCTGATTCAAGGGAATCCATAGATAGGGATTTGTACTAAAAGTTATGTGTGAAAAGCAGGAACAAGATTTAAGAGTTTGAAAGGCCTTTTTTTTTATTGGAAAATATTATAAGTTTCAAATTTTCTATTAAATAAATGATTTAATATTTTATATGGGTGTGAGGTTCACTTTTTTTTGACCCCACATTATGTGAGATATTTAATCATTTGTTTGATAAAAAATTTGGTATCCCTAATATTATCATTTTGTATTTTCCTTGGGCATTAAATTGGAATTTCACATTACTATCTTCACTGGTATTCGATTCATCATCATCAATGCTCCTGCACCCAATTTTAACAGCTAAGCTAACTAATACTCTCCAACGGTAAACACGACCAACCACGTCTCTTTAAATTTTGAAAAAATTAAAACATTTTTCTTTGTATGTCAGAATCTGAGTGTGTACGTAGAGAGAGAGAGAGAGAGAGAGAGAGAGAGATAGATGGGTAAAAATGGAGACAGTTTCATGAAGAAGGTAGGTGTGGGGAAGGTTACACACGCTTTTACATGTATATCTTTCTTTCTTTCTCACACAACCAACGTTTTGTCACAACACAAGCATTCCTCCTCCTCATCAAGGCGGCTTGTAGTCGGTTATTCTATTCCCAATTAAAATTGAAATAAATTTCGTGTTAGAGATTAAAAATTTGTTCAAGATGAGTTTATCAATGAACAAATTTTGAAGTCAATCAAGTCTTGTATTTGGCTCATTAGGTTTTTTTGGATGTTAGATTTTTTTTTTTTTTTTTTTTTGACTTTTTTTATTTTTTTTTTTTTTTTTGACATTTTTTAATCTTTAGTGGGATTTTTTTGTAATAAATTTATGTCAAATTTTTTTTCTTTTTATATTCATCTCAGTTTAGCTAAACGATCCAACATATCATTGCGGTTAAGTTCATAAATAAAAAAAAGAATAATATTGGATGCATATTTTGTAAGGATGATTCTTTTTGGCTAAAAAGTTACATTTTAGAGCCATGTTTCTCCTCCCAAAATCTAGTTTTCAAATTTATTCTTAATGATGGGATCATGATTGAATTTCAAATGATTGATTTTTAAACAGATCAATAATTAATATGGAGAAAATAATTCATTCACACAATTTTTTCTTTCAAATTCTCCAAATGACATGTTAAGCAAAATTTATAAAGTTGAGTTACAATCTAATATTCTTTCATAACTTTCCTTACATACATTTTGTCTTACCACTTCATTTGGGAGATTTGGGGATGAAAAAGTTATATGGATGTAGCATTGCTGAAATATGAATTAGGTAAATTTGAGAGTAATGTTTTAAGGGTTTCAAGCTGCATCTATAAAACGATTCGGGTTTGACTTCTTCATATTCACAATTTAATTTGAGAGAGCATTTGGGATTAGTGGGTTCATTGTGAGCCCAATTTTGGTGATTCAAACAGTTCACTTTTAGTACTCGTTAAGAAGAATATTTATGTAAAAAATCAAAATGATTAGATTTTGATAATTATATGTTTGAATTATATTTATCTTATAAAAAATGGACGGCAATTATAATTTCAAAAATAACTGTCTATTTTTTAAAGACAAATGTGTTTTAAACATATAACTACTGAAATTCAATTATCTTGATTTTTTATATGAATATTATTCTCAATAAATTCTAAAAAGTGAACTGTTTGAATTACTCAGATTAGACTTGTAAGGGGTCCACTAAGTTCAAATACTCAACCTGGGAGAAGCCAAATTAACCCAAACAATTCAATCATAATTAGTAATTTACAATAAACATAAAAAAAAAATCTTATTTACAGCTAGTCTTCATTCATTAACAACAGTGTAAGATGTCATTAATGAATCATGCATAGCGACATAATGATAATCAGTTTCAGGAATCCTTATTAAAGATTTTCATTTGAAAACAGGTGTTCCATATTCAATTTAACTTAAAATTGCATTTCTCGTATATATTATTTCCATTTTAGTCTTAGGGCCCAAAGTTGCAAGAATCTAAAACTACAAAAATAATATTTAAATAAAGAAGATAAAAATAATTCTTGAAAATATATTTTAAATCCTTAAATACCTTTGCTTAAAAATAAAATCCAAATATCATAAGAATAAAAAGCCATCTAATTATGGTAACCTAAATGCTCAAAAACTCTTCTTCATAAGATTCGTAGACTCTAAATCCTTAAAAATAAATTCAAAAGGAAAAAAAAAGTTACTAATACTTAAAAAGTAAATATCCAAACACACACACACACACACACACACACACAAAAAAAAAAAAAAAAAAAAAAAAAAAAAAAGAAAAGGAAAGAAAGAAAGAGAAGAAGAATAAAGGGTGGGCGCCAAATCATGTGGAATTCACTATTTGTCTGACAATGTAACACGTTCTCTGAGATTCATATGTGCATCTAGGCTTATTCATATATGAATTACTCATAGTCACCCCCCAAAAAATATCAATTATTGTCCATTTAAATGCTGCAATGAGCAACATTGTGGCATCAATTAGCATACAAGCCAATTAGCGCAATACATCAATTTTTTTTTTTTGGCTATATTAACAACACAGGACGATTCTATGAAAGTTGGCAGATGGCATTAACTGCACAGTGGAATCAAAAATTATTAAATGAATTTCCGTAGTTAGCCTTATATCTCTTACTTTCAAACACTTTCTTTTCACACCTCATAAATGGAGACAGTTGAGAGTTGCAATGCATTGCCCCTTTTATTTACTCTTCTTCTGCTTCTCCACAGTCATCTCACCCAACCCATTCTCTTTGGTCTCTCTTAAGGTTTCACAAGTTTCATGGATTGGCCACTCATCAATCTCCTCTTTACAGCTTTTCTTCTGCTTGCATCTGCAGCCATTCATGGAGCTCAAGCTGTTTCCATGCTCACTGGCACTGTCTTCTGTGATCAATGTAAAGATGGCCAAATCTCCCTCTTTGATTATCCCCTCTATGGTGAGTTCATCTAATCTCTACAAACACAGAAATCAGACACAGAATACACATGAATGAACAATGATGGACTATAATTTTGTATATAGTTTAATTACATTTATGTTTATATATCATTACTCTTTTTAATACTCGGGTCCCCGCAGGAGTAAAAGTTGCAGTAACCTGCTCGGACAGTAATGGGCAAGTCACATTGTTGAGAGAAGAGACTACAAATTGGTTTGGAAACTATGCCATGAAGTTTGATGGCACACCTGACTTGAGTGGGTGCTATGCCCAGGTTTCTTCAGGGAGTGGTGGACAAGGGTCAAATGATTGTGTGGCTGTGGCTGGTCCAGCCAAGAGTCTAAGACTCGTGTTTAGGATCTTTGATATGGAAATGTATACTGTTGATCCTCTGCTTTCTGAGCCTGCTCAGCCAATGTCCATGTGTCCAAGGTCTTACGCCCCTGTGTCTGCTCCGGTAATCCCTGTAACACCTCCGGTGCCAGTTGAGCCTCCACCAGTGGCTCGACTGCCTCCACTACCACCGATGCCACGGCTGCCGCCACTGCCACCGCTGCCACCAATGCCATCCTTGGAGGCTTCTGCTTGTCCGTACTGGTAAGTTCCAGCCACGGGCTGAGTTAGGATTGGTTTGAAAATTGATTTTTTAATGATTTTTTAATATTTTACAAAAAGATGTAAAAAAAAAATAGGACTAGGGGGTCAAGCACCCCGAATTAGGATCCTCCCCTTGAGCCCCCTCCTTCATTCCCTCCTTGCATGGGCCTTCGGGTCTACTTTGAGGCCCAGTTTTGATAATCCGAACCGTTCATATTTTTAGATTTATTCAGTATATCATACCTGTAAAAAATCAAGTTGATCGAATATCATAAAGTATGTGTTCGGAAAACTGTTTATTAAAAAATAGTTTGTAGTCCCAATTTTCTGAACGCATACTTTCTGATATCCGATCAACTTGACTTTTTACAGGTATACTATACTGAATAAATCTAAAAATATGAACGGTTCGGATTATCAAAACTGGGCCTCAAAGTGGACCCGAAGGCCCCTGCAAGGAGGGAATGAAGGAGGGGGCTCAAGGAGGGGATCTGGACTCCAAGCACCCCTTCTCAACTTTTTTCTCAACTTTTTTGTGTAATCATTAATAAAACCAGAATTGAACCTGTTTTTTTGTTTGGTTGTCAAAATCCTAAAACCATTAGATACGGTTTGGTTTATGAATTTTCTCGAAATTGAACCAAAGTCCCCCATATGTGTCACCATCTATATATATATATAGAAGTTCTTTACTGTTTGTTCAAATTCCTTCACTTCTCTTTTACTCTTTCTCATGTTTCCATATACCACTAAATTAGAAGAATTGTTCTGAAAATATAAATGTGAAAATCTGTACACATGTTTAGCAAAATTTATATACTTAATAGCATACAATTATGGATAGTAAATTAGCCTAATTGGGTAAATAACTTGTCCCTTCACATGTCTGCTCGTTTAAAAACGATCTATGTCTTTGCCTAGTTAAATGCCCCATCTGAATTCACTGATTCCAACCCAAATTTCACAATCCAAAGACCACACCAATTACTTGGCCATGCTTGACATTTTTTTTTTGGAATTGGTAGGAATTGGACAATGCCGGGTTACGAATGCTACTGGAAGGCGGTGACGCCAGACATGAAAGTAGCCGTTGTGTTTGGCTTAATCGCAGCGCGGAGATATGGGACAGACATGACACTAAGGCAAGGCATGGAAGGCAGGGGAGACCCTTACAGGACCCTACTGAGGGAAGGGACAACGGCCCTCCTCAACTCCTACAACAGCATCCAGTTTCCGTACCATCCCCTCGGTGTGATCCATCACATGAATTGGGCCTTATTGGGCTCCACTCGGCTTGTTCTCCACACGGCAATACGCTTCATGAGGGCTAATTCTGGCAGTGGAAAAGTCAGCTGCAAATTCACTCCCTGCAAGTGATCATCATCCTCCGCATTTTCTGAATTTATTAATTTATATAAAAGGCTGTTTTTTACTATATATGCGGTCATATTTATGTTTAATAGAGTACATTGATGTGTTGAATTGGCCAATTCTCCTTATTGTGATTTGGGAATTGAACTTGTCATATTGTTATATTTATCATGAAGGATTGAGTTAGAAGGGTTTGGGTGCTTCCTTATTTTAGCCATGGAGTAAGTTTGAGTGATTGTTCTATGAGGCAAAATAAAGAAATGGATGTTAAACTCTAGATTTTGTAAACTTAGTAAATATTTTGGACTCACCCCAATTTCTTGTGTCTACGATGTTAAATTTGATCTGTGTCTCTCTTTCGGACCTATGTACATGTGATGCATTTCTTGAGATTTAAATTTGTTGGGTCATTTAGGAATTGACTTTCTAAGTGATTTTTTAATTTTTTTTTTATAAAAAAAGATTTGTAAAAAAATAAGGAAAATGAAACTTTTTGTAAAAATTATCTTTCCAGACACCTTTTGTTGGAATTTATGGTTTTTTATAGGTTTATTTTGGGTTATCTTTGAGCCCAAATTTGAGTGGGTCCCATACGTCTTTTGGGGTGGGTCCAAAGAGGTGATGTGTTCCTTACTGCATGACAAGTCACACGGTACAAACGGTTCGTCAAAATTATTTATGATTGAATGGGAAGTTGACTTCGTTTTCGGGTTCGTTGAATGGACAATTGAAGAATCAAAAGTGGGTTTCCTTGAAATGGATTGTCCCCCATTGAAACTTGAAGAGAGCTTCTATGTATTTATAAGCTCTAAGTGGGAATACTTGGATTGGGCCCCAAAGGACACCCCAAGTTTGTAGTAGGGAAGAGTTATGGACAAAGTGGGCCTTAACCCAAACCACCACCCGTTAGCTGAGCCTTGCTGTGCCGTGCATAAGTGTGGGTCGGGGTTAATTCTAATACTAATTTTTTATGAACAAAATTTATTTGAATTTTTTTTAGAAATTTTGCAGGAAAAATTAATTTTCTGAATGAAACTAATTCAAATTTTGCGCCAAATTTGAATTTAATTTTCTATCCAAAAGTTGCCTCCTCCAGTCCGAAATTTTCCAACAGATTAAACTATTTTTAACAGTTTTAAAAATGCCAGCAGTTGTACAGATTCAAACTGCTGCAGATCTGTTCAAATTTGAATTGTATCTGTTCAATTCAAAATTGAATCTGTTCATTTCAAAATTGAACCTGTTCGGATCTGGTCACCAATATGCCTATAAAAGCAGACCTGCTTCTAGCATTTTTACACATTCAGAAAATTGTTTACCTCCCGTTTTTGCACTCTGCTTACATTATTCTTCATATTATTTTTGGAAAAAAATTCAGGGAGTATAGAACACAGATTTTGTGAGCCGTACAGATTATATGAAGTGCTACTACAATTTGTGAAGATCATTGTATTTTGGGAGATGGACGCCATTCATCTGTAAGCATCGAAGCGGGGCGAATCTGTTTTAAGGATAGAGTGTCACACACTCGACTTGATCTTTTTATACTTATTCAATTCGGTAAATAAATTATGTAAGTAATTTATTTTATTTGTTTGATTTGGTTTCAAGTTATTTTATTTTACACAAAAGATTGTTTCAACAATATTAAGACAGATTTGAATTATTCTGTTTATACAGAAATTTTCATTTGTTTCATGTTCTTCTTTCATTCTTCTTACGAAAATTAATTTTCTGTGTGTTTACAAAGTGATATTATAGTTGGAAAATACAAATCGTAGTAATATGCTGTTTATTTTCTTTGACAACTAATAGTAATATACTGGTAACAATTCAGAATATTTATTTGTGAAATTGGTCAGAAATTAGTTTTGGTTTTCAGAAATAATTTATGAGTTTTCATTAATTAAAATTTTGTTTTCAGTATTTTAATTTTTGAAGTGTTACAGAAATATTTTTCTGTGTGGAATTAATTTGTTTAAATAAAATTTTATTTTCAAATTAATTGAAAATAAAAGTTATAATTCTTATTTCTTTTATTTTTATAGAATTAAATTTTGTGTTTAAGGTTTACATTTTCTGTGTAGTATAAGATTATAATTATAATTTTATTTTATGATTTAGAACTCATGGCTATTGAAACTAACGCTCAAACAAGTATTGGTATGGTGGCTGCAATTGCCCCAACCCTCCTCCTATTGAGACTGTGCCAGTCAATTACAGTGAAAAGCCAGAGAAGTTCTTAGGAACTGATTTTAAAAGATGGCAGCAAAAAATGTTGTTCTATCTTACTACTCTCAACCTGGCACGGTTTCTCCGTGAGGATGCTCCTAGTCTGAAAGAGAATGAAATTGACCAACAAGTGGTTGCTGCGGTCAATGCCTGGAAACATGCTGATTTCCTTTGCCGAAATTACATCTTGAATGGACTTAACAACACATTGTACAACGTTTATAGTCCTATTAAAACGGCAAAGGAACTTTGGGAGTCTTTGGAGAAAAAGTACAAAATAGAAGATGCTAGGTCAAAGAAATTTGTGGTTGGCAAATTCTTGAATTTTGTGATAATTGATTCTAAGACTGTGATCAGCCAAGTTCAAGATCTCCAACTCATTCTGCATGACATTCATGCAGAAGGCATGTCTCTCAGTGAATCGTTTAAAGTTACTACCTTAATTGAAAAATTACCATAAGGCTGAAAGGAATTTAAAAACTACCTCAAACACAAGTGCAAGGAAGACAACCACAATTCACAGAAACGAGCTAGTAAGAATCTAATGGAGTCCAAGGAAAATGTGGTGAAACATGCTCTAAAAGCAAATGAACGAAAGTATTCTGGAGAAAGTTCCGCACAAGGCTCTAAATGAGGGGAAACTAAGAAGTACAAGTTTAATGGCAAATGTTACATCTATGACAAAGAGGGACATCGGGCCAAAGATTGCTGTAGCAAGGGCAAAAGCAAAAGAAGATCAAGCAAGAAGCCTGCTTAAGCCAATATGACTAAAGTGGACAAAATTTTCAATGGTGTAGATGACATAAATCTTTCTGTAGTTGTTTCCGAGGCAAATCCTGTCGGAAATCCTAAAGAGTGGTAGGTGGACACTAGTGCTACTCGCCACATTTCTGTTACGACCCAAACCCGCCCCTATAAGTTTAGTGTTGTAACTGGCCAAAAATCCTTAAATTACCAAAGGTCTCTTAATAGAATAACATATAATTAGGGACTGCGGAAGCAAATATACAAAAATTATACATAGTCCATTGAGCTGTGTAGACATAAATGGGACAAATAATTTTAAACTATAATAACACACATGTGACATCATATATGCATATGTGTAGACTTGACTTTCTTCTCGCCCCATTTTGGGGAGCTCGAATTGGTCCTACAGTTCGGACACCTGTCACGGTTTTGAATCTAATCTCACAAAGTGCAATGTGAGACTGATAAACACTAAAGAGTCCAATCCGGCAAATCATTTTGAAAAATCAATTTTGAATCAAATAATGCCAAAACTAGATTGCTTTGCCAGATTACAAAGTCGCCACCTAAATATTTTGTATTTGAAAAATTTAGGAAACCCTGACTTGTGCCAAAGGCCACGTGTCCATCATCACCAAAGTTGCCTCGGCTCGGGAACTTGGGTACGAGAGGGGAAGGTCCTGAAATAAGCATCCCCGCTCGCCCGATCAAAAGATCGGCCTCTACTATCATGATATGTTGTTTCATAAACGTCATGTGTTCTTATTTTGATTATTAGCTAACTTTACTATGTGACGCACATACAATCAAATATAGACTAAGTCGCAAGACTTGGAATAAATCAATTCATGTTTGTTTTTAAAAATGGTTTGAAAATACCACCCTCAAGTGGGCTAAAACACGGATTTGCTACCCTTAAGTGGGCTTAAAACATGATTATTTGCCACTTCGCAAAGTGGGCTTAAAACTCACAATAATCGAATTGTTCCAATTCAAGCAACAAATATAGACTAAGTTGCAAGACTTGGAACAAATCAACTCATGTTTGTTTTCAAAAATAGTTTGAAAATACCACCCTCAAGTGGGCTAAAACGTGGATTTGCTACCCTCAAGTGGGCTTAAAACATGATTATTTGCCACTTCGCAAAGTGGGCTTAAAACTCACAATCATCGAATTGTGACAATTCAAGCAACAAAGTCTTCATTCACAGGCATTCATGCAGTTAATCATTTAAGCACATAGCCTCATGGCAAGCATGCGAAGCATGACAACACTCGCACTCATGCAAGTATGCTAAAGCGTAAAACTTACAGTGTACTCCGAACCAAAACAAAAAAAGCTAGTTAGAAATAATGCAGGGTCCTAACTATACAAGATGTCTAATGCAACACATTGTAGACCACCCCGAACTTGCTCCGCCCGCCCCCCTTTCGAAGAGGGCGTGGGTTTGGGTTCATAGCTACTATAGTTCATACCCCTGTCATGGTTTTGTATCTAATCTCACAAAGTGCAATGTAAGATTGGTAAACCACCAAAGAGTCCAAATCCAGCAAATCGCTTTGGAAAATCGATTTTAATCAAGAAGTGCCAAACATGGACTGTTTTGCCAGATTACAGAGTCGTCACCTAAATGTTTTGTTTTTTGGAAAACTTAGGAAACCCTGAGTCATGCCAAAGGCTACGTGTCCGTCATCACCAAAGTTGCCTTGGCTCGGGAACTTGGGTACCGGGGGGGAAAGGTCATGAAATGAGCAACCCCGCTCACCCGATCAAAGGATCTGCCTCTACTAACATGATATGTTGTTTTCATATATACATGTATTGTTATTCCGATTATTAGCTAACTTACTATGTGATGCGCATAGCATACAAGTATAGACTAGATCGCCTAAATTGGAACAAAACAAGTCAATGTTTGTTTTTCGAAAATGGTTTGAATTTTTCACTCTCAAGTGGGCTTAGAATTGCGGATTTGCCACCAAACAAGGTGGGCTTAAAACATGATGATTTGCCACTCCAAGTGGGTTTAAAACTCACATTTTGATGAATTGTTCCAATTCAAGTAATGAAGGCTTCATCCACAGGCATTCATGCAGTTAATCAAATAAGCACATAGCCTCATGGCAAGCATACTATCATGGCAATCACTTACAAACATGCAAGGATGCTAAAGCGTAAGCACTTACAGTGTACTCCAAGCTAAAACAGAAAACTAGTTAGAAATTAATGCATGATCTTAGCTATGTTAAGGTACCTGTAGACACCCCATTTTTGACCGACCTTAAGACTTAGACGTCACCAGTTGAGCGCTCGGTGATGTTGCATGTTGTGCTCGTTCTG